GAGATAATTAGCTACTTCCGGTTTAGAAAATGTCACTTCCGGTCTCATATGATAACTTTATTCACACTGATTCCAAAAATATATAGTTTGTATATACTTATGCCTGTAATAAGGAAGATAATATGCTACTTTCGGTTTATAAAATGTTACTTCCGGTCTCAAAACATAGGTTAACCTATGGTCATTCAAAAAATATATGGTTTCTAGGTACTTTTCCATGAAATAAGTGCAAAAAATACTACTTCCGGTTCACTCAAGTCACTTCCGGTTGACATTTTTCAAGGTCATAGGTCAAATAACAGTTTGCAAAAGACCTTATGGCTTTATCATGTAACAAGTTGGAGTAATAATCAGTTAACCTTAAATTGAATCATTTCAGGGACAATAACTCCTATAAGATGTCATTGGATTGTTTCAGACCAAATGTATCATATCTTAATCACAATTAGGCAAACATTTTGCACTTGTTCTTTAATTTGTATCTTTAAAAGTGACAGAGGAGATCAAATAACAAGGAAAAGTCAAAATTTAGAATATGACCTTGACCTTTGACCTTGGCCTCAATTTCATTTAAATGGACCAAGGAACTCAAATCAATATACCTTAGGTCTTTATCACTTACCATTCATGCTATACATTTATATATCCTTTATGTCAAATACAGAAGGGAAAATAACTCTCATATGGAGTTTACGTACCGCCTCGGTCAAAATTGGACAAAACATCCTGAGGATATAACGAGCAATTTGGTAAAATAAATTTGTCGCTTTCTTTTACGGTTACGGAAGAGATGCAGTAACAAGGAAAACAGTGTTCGGGGAGATAACTCCTACAAAGAAAATTGTTCGGCTTAGAATGGGTGAAAATAAAAAGCGCATAAACTGTATGATATTATATAAGAAATATCTAAGCGACATCTTGCGAAACAAAAATTTTACGCGTGAACAAAATTAGGCGGAAGAATAAAAAAATAATAATAATAATAATAATAATCAGAACAAATACAATAGGTCTTTCCACAGAAAAGTGGAAAGACCTAATAATAATAATAATCAGAAGAAAAAGAAGAAGCAATACAGTAAGGTCTTTCCCTTTTGGAAAAAGGAAAGACCTTAATAATAATAATCAGAAGAAGAAGATATACAGTAAGGCATTTCCCTTTTGGAAAAGGAAAGACTTTAATAATAATAATAATAAACAGAAGAAATGCTGTAAGGTCTTTCCCTTTTGGAAAAGGAAAGACCTTCATAGACAGAAGAAATACAGTAAGATCTTTCCCTTTTGGAAAAGAAAAGACCTTAATAAACAGAAGAAATACAGTAAGATCTTTCCCTTTTGGAAAAGAAAAGTCCTTAATAAACAGAAGAAATACAGTAAGATCTTTCCCTTTTGGAAAAGAAAAGACCTTAATAAACAGAAGAAATACAGTAAGGTCTTTCCCTTTTGGAAAAGAAAAGACCTTGATAATAATCAGAAGAAATACAGTAAGATCTTTCCCTTTTGGAAAAGAAAAGACCTTAATAAACAGAAGAAATACAGTAAGGTCTTTCCCTTTTGGAAAAGAAAAGACCTTAATAATAATCAGAAGAAATACAGTAAGGTCTTTCCCTTTTGGAAAAGAAAAGACCTTAATAATAATCAGAAGAAATACAGTAAGGTCTTTCCCTTTTGGAAAAGAAAAGACCTTAATAATAATCAGAAGAAATACAGTAAGGTCTTTCCCTTTTGGAAAAGAAAAGACCTTAATAAACAGAAGAAATACAGTAAGGTCTTTCCCTTTTGGAAAAGAAAAGACCTTAATAATAATCAGAAGAAATACAGTAAGGTCTTTCCCTTTTGGAAAAGAAAAGACCTTAATAATAATCAGAAGAAATACAGTAAGGAAAGCCTTTAATAATAATAATAATAATTAAAAACCAATTGTTCAGAGAACAATTGAAGGTCTTTCCACATCAATGTTCTAAATTATTGATGAGAAGCTACATCCAGTTTACTCAAAATTACTATTGGCGTCCAAGCTTTGGTTTCTTCGTACTGATTCAATTAATATATGGTTTCTATATACTTTGGCCTGAAATAAGGGAGATAATTGCCAACTTCCGGTTTAGAAAATGTCACTTCCGGTCTCATATGATAGCTTTATTTATACTGATTCCAAAAATATATGGTTTATATATACTTTTGCATGTAAAAAAGGAAATAATTAGCTACTTCCGGTTTAGAAAATGTCACTTCCGGTCTCATATGATAACTATATTCACACTGATTCCAAAAATATATAGTTTGTATATACTTATGCCTGTAATAAGGAAGATAATATGCTACTTCCGGTTTATAAAATGTTACTTCCGGTCTCAAAACATAGGTTAACCTATGGTCATTCAAAAAATATATGGTTTCTAGGTACTTTTCCATGAAATAAGTGCAAAAAATACTACTTCCGGTTCACTCAAGTCACTTCCGGTTGACATTTTTCAAGGTCATAGGTCAAATAACAGTTTGCAAAAGACCTTATGGCTTTATCATGTAACAAGTTGGAGTAATAATCAGTTAACCTTAAATTGAATCATTTCAGGGACAATAAATCCTATAAGATGTCATTGGATTGTTTCAGACCAAATGTATCATATCTTAATCACAATTAGGCAAACATTTTGCACTTGTTCTTTAATTTGTATCTTTAAAAGTGACAGAGGAGATCAAATAACAAGGAAAAGTCAAAATTTAGAATATGACCTTGACCTTTGACCTTGGCCTCAATTTCATATAAATGGACCAAGGAACTCAAATCAATATACCTTAGGTCTTTATCACTTACCATTCATGCTATACATTTATATATCCTTTATGTCAAATACAGAAGGGAAAATAACTCTCATATGGAGTTTACGTACCGCCTCGGTCAAAATTGGACAAAACATCCTGAGGATATAACGAGCAATTTGGTAAAATAAATTTGTCGCTTTCTTTTACGGTTACGGAAGAGATGCAGTAACAAGGAAAACAGTGTTCGGGGAGATAACTCCTACAAAGAAAATTGTTCGGCTTAGAATGGGTGAAAATAAAAAGCGCATAAACTGTATGATATTATATAAGAAATATCTAAGCGACATCTTGCGAAACAAAAATATTACGCGTGAACAAAATTAGGCGGAAGAATAAAAAAATAATAATAATAATAATAATAATCAGAGCAAATACAATAGGTCTTTCCACAGAAAAGTGGAAAGACCTAATAATAATAATAATCAGAAGAAAAAGAAGAAGAAATACAGTAAGGTCTTTCCCTTTTGGAAAAAGGAAAGACCTTAATAATAATAATCAGAAGAAGAAGATATACAGTAAGGCATTTCCCTTTTGGAAAAGGAAAGACTTTAATAATAATAATAATAAACAGAAGAAATGCTGTAAGGTCTTTCCCTTTTGGAAAAGGAAAGACCTTCATAGACAGAAGAGATACAGTAAGATCTTTCCCTTTTGGAAAAGAAAAGACCTTAATAAACAGAAGAAATACAGTAAGATCTTTCCCTTTTGGAAAAGAAAAGACCTTAATAAACAGAAGAAATACAGTAAGATCTTTCCCTTTTGGAAAAGAAAAGACCTTAATAAACAGAAGAAATACAGTAAGGTCTTTCCCTTTTGGAAAAGAAAAGACCTTGATAATAATCAGAAGAAATACAGTAAGATCTTTCCCTTTTGGAAAAGAAAAGACCTTAATAAACAGAAGAAATACAGTAAGGTCTTTCCCTTTTGGAAAAGAAAAGACCTTAATAATAATCAGAAGAAATACAGTAAGGTCTTTCCCTTTTGGAAAAGAAAAGACCTTAATAAACAGAAGAAATACAGTAAGGTCTTTCCCTTTTGGAAAGGAAAAGACCTTAATAATAATCAGAAGAAATACAGTAAGGTCTTTCCCTTTTGGAAAAGAAAAGACCTTAATAATAATCAGAAGAAATACAGTAAGGTCTTTCCCTTTTGGAAAAGAAAAGACCTTAATAATAATCAGAAGAAATACAGTAAGGTCTTTCCCTTTTGGAAAAGAAAAGACCTTAATAAACAGAAGAAATACAGTAAGGTCTTTCCTTATAGTAAAAAGAAAGACATTAATAAAGATAAAGTGAATTACTTTAAATTTTCTAACACATAATTGGCTTCTAATATATGCTTGAAATAATCAAACCTTTATTCGTTTTTAAAACATGAATTTTCAATCACAACTTCATTTGTATAATGGCAAAAATTACATCAGAAACAAAAGGTTATTAATATCTGACATGATTCTTATTCATAACATTCAGAAGATAGTAATAACAAGTTTAATATGCAAGGTTTACTAACTGGATGTGGGATGAGATGATTAACACTGTAAAGTTCCTTCTTGACAACATTTATCTACGTTTTGGCAATAACGTTTATCGACAGGTTGTAGGTATTTTAATGCGTGTATATCAGGTGTGCCCCTTTAATAGCAGACTTTTTCCTCTACTGTTATATGAATAATAGTTTATGGCCAAACTAAGTACAAACTCGTTTAAATTCCATTTAATTGATGTAATCAAAACACTTACCGTTACCTTGTTGATATTTTTTTCGTTTCATAATCAAGAATTCTCTTAATATACGAAATCCCTGACTTAATGATGCACAAGTAATACATACATTACGCTCATTAAAAATCAAAACGTCACTACAGCCACGGGCATAGCAAACGAGTTGGAATACATAAAAACCGCAAGACAGTGTAAAAGGATTATCATATTTCAAAAAAGTAAAATCAATAATAAGGAAAGAAAAATCGACCATTTTGTCGTATTTTATTGTGTAGATATATTGATAGATTAAAATTAAATCTATCGTGTTAATAGAAAAAAAAAATATCTAAAACAGGGAAGATATGTATTAACTATTACTTATGTTTCGTGAATGTTATATATAATCGAAAATATATTGTGTTTTTTTTTCATTAATTTTTTTTTTTTTTTTTTTTTTTTATATTACAGGAAAAGACAGATGCAAATAAAGAGAGAATCGGGTATGCACTTAAATATTTCTTAAGTACAATGTATTACAAAAATCAAAATAGTATATGTTCGAAATAGCTTACGATTATGACATATAGACGTCTACGCGCCATTGTTTTTAATGTTCCTTGGAGTTCGATATTTTTGTTATTTTACTGTTGACATAATCAATGTTATTGAATTAGAAAATGAAGAAAAGAATTATATAAATATGAATCCGAAGTCAGATTTCAAAATATACTTCCATTACAATATTAAAAACAAAGCCATGGTTTACCATAACATCGAATACTGGTGGTTTACTTACACTGGATATAAGAAAAATAAACTTCTACGACGCTTCTAAAATAATGTGTATTATTCTTAAAAATGAATAGGACGATACAGTGTAATCATTTAAGTATTTATTATGTTGCATGTCTGTCATGTTTGTCATGTCATATATACTCTGCAACTAATAACCGAAAAGCGTTTTTAATTAAAAAAAATGGTTGCTTTGCTATCCAGCAGGTAACAGAGAGGAGAAAGATGCCAGAGGGACATTCAAACTTATAAGTCGAAAATAAAGTGACAACGCCATTTCAAAAAACGAAAAAAGATACAAAAGACTGAGCAACACAATACCTACCTAAAATCTGCGGTGATCTCAGGGGCTCCGGAAACGGTTAGCAGATCCTGCTCCACATGTGGCACCCGTCTTGTCGCTCGTGTGAATACAAACCAAGTGATAAGTCCGAATCGTTATGACATTTTCGAGAAAAGAGGACCGGATTGTGGTTACGACAATTGGAACATTTTCGTCGACGTCCGTAAATTTTTCAAAAGGATAATTTCAGCTAAATCGCTTGAAACTCTTTGTTTAATAGCATATTTTTAGCAGCTATCCTCTCGCCGGGAAATCATGATAGGAAATGCAAGCCCGTTGAATATCGCATCAACCTGGAACGTATTCACATCAACATAAACATAATCATCAATGACAAATGAGACAATTTTTCAGTTTGCATTTTGTTTTTGTACTGGCATGAGTCGTAAGGCTCAACCTTCTGTCTTCTGTGAAATATTTTGTTGTTTTACTTTTGGATATGTCGTTGCTTTTTGACAAATTTGTGTTCTTTTATTTGTTTTGCCTACTTGCTTATATTAACCTTCAAATAAATGTATAACAAAGCAGAAAATTGTTCCTAGCAATACATTTTTTTTCTTTTTTTCGAGTATTATAATGTTTTCTATCCACATTTTTAGGGCATCATTCATGTCTCTTCCTTAATGTATTTTTCCTAGACTAAGTTAATGAAATTTAGTCTAAAACTGTCATTTTGATCTTAACATCATCTGAAAAAACGGATTAATAAAAAAATAAGTCGTTTATAATTTATTGTTCAGTCCATTAATATCTGTTCAGATAAAAATGACTCTATCAGGTCAACATTAGTTTACTAATGAAGGGCATTTTTTGTTTATAAAATTGATTATTTTTAAATATATTTCGTTCGTATTCTTTATTAGGAGCATATATGTTTATAAGAGATTAAATTATATTTTCAAATTCTCTATTTAACATGATTATTCGACATTCTGAATCTTTACGTTCATCTATTAGTTTATATAAAAATAGAAGGTGTGGTATGATTGCCAATTAGACAACGCTCCTTCAGAGACCAAATGACATAGAAGATAACAACTATAGATAACCGTACACCCTTTAACAATAAGCAAAACTCATACCGCATCGTAAGCAATAACAGGCCCAGAAATGTCAAATGTAAAACAATTCAAACTAGAAAACTAACGGCCTGGTGTATGTACAAACCAATGAACAAAAGATAATATACAGCAACGAAAACCACTGAATAACAGGCTCCTGACTTGTGATATGCAAATACAGAATGTGGTTAGATTATATATGTTTGCTTGCACCAAACCTTCTATTTTTCTCAGCTAGTAATATGGTAAATATCAATGATTTTTAAAGACAATCAAATCTGATTTTTGCCTTATATTTAAACAGTTACTGTATATTATTACGATCTTATGACTATGATTGTTATTATCATAATTGTTATTATCATCACATAGATACAAGACGAACACTTACCGCATTATTTTTATGATTGCAGACATCTTCTTCATCGATCCTTCTTAGAAGGAAAACCACAAGCTAGGGAAGTGTTGGTAAGTTTCGATCTTTACATCGATTCAATATAAGTATTAGTACTTATACATTCAGTACTTTATGTTTACGATAGGTATACAATATTATAGAAATGAACATGATAAATATCAGCATAGTGTTAACAGGAATTAAATTGATATCGTATGCATGTTATTTTTAAATTCTAAATAAAGTAGATGGCATATACGTTAAATTTGCTAACATTGAAGACTGTTTAGGGATGTTTGCTACTGTTTTTCAAAATAACAAGCATTTTAAAAGCCTGTTAAAAATTGATAGTATATAAATAATGGAGCTTAACGAGTAGAAAAAAATTAGAGGTCCATGTCCTCGTTTTTGAGATATAATCACGTGAAAATTTGGCGGGAAATGATTTTCTCTAGATTTTTCATACATTTGATATTGGCATTTTTTTTTTCTTTCAAAAACTAAGAAAAAATAACAAGGATTTTATAAGATTGTAAAACTATATACAATAAAATTTTGAAAAGAAAAGTAGGAGTTAGCGGGCAAAATTTGTTTTGGTACTACATGATTAAAAGTAGAGGGATTCCGAATATCTGACAAAAAGCCAAAAACATGAGTAGCGAACATCTTTAAGATTGAAATAAACTCGAATAGAAGTACTGAATAAATGTATTACCAGCATAGATAAGGTGTTCGTTATTAAGTTCAACGAGTTAAAACAAATACACTTGATACAACTGGTTTGTTTAAAACACATGTTTATTTTAAATATAAATGTATATACACATATAATTGTTTATGCGATATGAGCAGTTCGTCTCAAAAGGACGTCATCAGTGACGCTCGAATAGAAAAAGTTAAAAGGCTAAATGAAGAAAAGGTTGAAGAGCATTGAGAACTTAAAATTTCGAAAGATTTGCCAAATACAGCTAAGGTAATATGTGCATGGGTTAATGCGTCAGACAAGGGAAAGATGGAATAGTTATTCGTGAACCTTTAAGAAAAGATAAGAAAGAATTAAAGACGTGAAATGTAACCGCTGAATAAAAAAAAACAGTTTGAGCCCACAGTGTTTTTCCGATAATGTCTTTACCAAGTCAGGAATATGACAGTTGTCTTACTTTCGTTCCGTTTGTTAATAAATCTAACGTTTGGTTTTGTCATTTTGTATTGAATTCCCTTTAAGAATTTTACCTTTGAGTTCGGTATGTGTGTTAATACTTTTTTTACATAATTGTTTTTATGGAAAAAATCAAACCTGAAGACAGTACCACATATTGCAGAAATTGAAAGGTCTTTCTAGTGAGAACTACTTAAAACCTGACTTATCTAAGGTAACAGTTATCCGTGAAGAATATTTTGTTTTTCATTATTTCTTTATTTTCAATATCAGGAAAAGAAGAAAAGAAGGGAAAACGAAAAGACACAAGAAAATAGAATCAAGTAATGCACATGCAATTGTCATAATCACAATGGTTTAAAGAAGGAAAATAGTATGCAGTACTACCTGGAACGTACTTTTATAAATCTATAATAATGTAAAATGTATACCCTATTGGAATTTTTAAGCAGGAGTAACCTTAACAGTTAAAACAAGTGAAAATGAAATACATCTTTTGTAAATCATAGACAAATTATCCCACTACAGATAAAATACGCTTTGCCTTATTGAGCCATTGGGCAAATAGGTGCAAAAAGACATCACATTACTTCCTATGTCATATGCATTTGGATAGAAGAAAATTGAATATGCTACAATACTTATACTTGACTTTGCTTGCGATAAGGAATTAATTTGCAGTTTAAAAAGAATGATAGAGTGACTAATACATGGTCGCATATTGAAAAAAAAACAAAAAAAAACAAAGACATAGTTACTAAAATGTTTGGATAGTTTTTTTTTTTTTTTTTTTTTTTTTTTAATTTGAAACGAAACTTTCGATATAGGTAATTGATAATAAATAAGAAAACATTAAATGTTCAGGTAAAGTGTTGATGCATAATGTCATTTACTCACCCGATTAATAGAAAAAATAAGATCGACGCACCTCTCGAGGCAACATAATTAGTGTTTTAGACCAATGTGAGTACTACTATACTTACCTTACATCCATGTTTTATGATCCGCAATAAAGTGTCGCCATTTGATGATGACCATACCAGATGGTAGACATTTATCACATTACGTCAAGGGTTGCACTATATGTTTACACATGTTTGCAATCCTAATATCAAGTTTTATATATACAATGTGTATAAGTAATTTTAAATGAATGAAAAGATATGTACATAATTACGCACGTCAAATTGGTTTTCAAAATATACCTCCTTTATTAGAATTTAAAGCAGAATCATACAGTTTAGCATATATATCGAATGCCGGAAATACCTGATATTAATACCCAAAACAGTTAATTTCTAAAACGCTTCAAAAATAATGTGAATTATACTGATACAAGAATAGGTACAACGGAATGGTAAACTCCATGTATTAACAGGCAGTAAACAGCGTCTATTTCGTTTGATTGTGTTATCTTAACTCAATATAATAGCGTCTTACATAATGATAGAACAACGTTTACACAATATATAGTGACGTTAACAATGGTTGAATGAAAACAGAGTTAAAAGAAGCGTTAACACTTGACTTATATTAAACTGCCTCAAAATCGCTGACAATAGGACGATTCAATTATTATCGTAAATACAACTTATAAAAACGAGCATTTTAAACACGAAAAGTTTGTTCTTACTATCAAGTAAGTTAACATTAATATACACATCCTCAGAGTTCAATATCTATTTAATCGAAACAGGGAACTGCGAAGAGTTCCAATGCGGTGTTTGCATTTGGCAGGTTTGCATGGCCGAAGCGCCTGGGTTTACCAATGTTTACCGGGGTCGTTATGCTCAACATTCCGTCTTTAGTGTAATATTTCATTGAATAAATTGTCGCTTTTTAACGAAGTTAGTTTTTTTTTTTTGTTACTCTCTTTGATAAAAATTGTTCCTAGCAAACACATACCCTTGAAAAACGGATATTACCTTTTATAGTTGGCCTAAATTTATATCAGTGCTTTTTTTTTCAAAGTCATTAATCTACATCATTGCCTCATCATTAACAGTTACTGTATATCATGATTATTGAAATTATTTTATATTTTGCATACGGTTGTCATCATTGCATTAGCACAAAACGAAAACTAACATCATTATGTTTACGATTACAGGCGTATTCCAAATCCCTCCTTTATATTTGAGAAGCAACCGAATTTCACGGAAGTTTTTGTAAGTAATGTATTTTTACATTCATTCCAATTCTTCAGTCACATATTATTAACTGTAGAGTACTTATTATTTCAGATGCAATATAATTGATATGAATGTCAACATATTTGTTAAGTAGAAATACATTGATACACAGGTAAATTATTAAATCAGGGATTCCGTTACCATAAATTACTTAAAACTTTTTTTCTAAATTCGTTCAAAGATACAAAAATTTGATTAGTAAACTTGACTGTACCTGTAGAAAACTTATTAAAACGGTATTTCACATCTCAAATTTTACATAAGTATTGTACTAAAAGCGTAGAAATCACTATGCAATCCGTGTAAACTCATCAAACCTTTAAACAAACTTTTGAGTAAATGTTGTCTTATTAACAATGTAATAAGATCTTTGAATATCGTTAACATTGGCAAAAATATCGATTTTGTCATCAACAAATTAAAACATGACTAAATTTGTATTCTTTTCGAATTTTTTATTTATTTTTTTTTTATTATTATGTATAAATATACATCTACGTTTATTTTCTATATAGAGATTGCTTTATCTATATATATAACATTATACTCATTTATTATATAGGTTACATCCTCACTCTCCTACTGCCTGTCGATACTATTATTTGGGCATTGGACAAATCATGTTTTCTTTGACTGGGAATGGCGTTAAAAATCTAAATCCCTGGATTGGGTTTGAATTGATTTTAGTCTCTGATACATGATTTGTTATTATTAATTGTTTTTGGTTTTTAACTAGGTTTCAGTTACTACGAGTACTCTCAAATCGTACTTTCGTGTTAATTTGACCTGTTGACACAATTTGTAATGCATTTTTGTTATTCAATGTTTACTTATTTTTTTTGTGTTATATTTCGTCTCACTTTTTTAAACATATAAATATTTAGTGTAACGATAATTTTCGCTTCTTTTCTCGTACTATGAACAACTAATTCATTTATTTAGTATAACAAAATATTTGCGTACTCCTAATTAGCTATTTATTATATAAAAAATTACCTGTGTACATTATTTTATTTAACGCCATTTTGTCTAAGGTTATAGTTGTCATTTTGACATTGTTTTACCAACCCCTTTTTTATTAATATTGTATTCATATTATGTCATAGATAAAATGTATTCGTTCAGTGAATGTTTACTTGTTTGTGTTAATGTGTCTTTCTGATTGAGTTAAGCCATTTCCAATTGAAATTTTATAGTGTGTCTTTCTATGTTTTAATATTGCACTTCTGTTTCAGGTAATTTCAGGTTGTTCACTGCTATTTCCTTGCATAGATCAACATTATGCTTATAAGTATGAAATGCTACTGAATAGTACTGATTTTAGTTTCAGCAAACTATCTGAACAGTATTGAATTACTAAACAGCTGAACACGATTGAATAATTTATTGTTTAAACTTTTCAGATCATGTTTAGAGACCAATGACCGTTTTAGACTATATTTCGTTGACTAGTGTAAACACTGCAAAGAATATCTGACTATGATCCTATGTGGTGTTCATGACATTTTATATATTATCCATTATCAGTGATGTTAATTGTCGTCTGGGAAAAAATCTTGCTCTCAGTCGTTACGATTGACAGGATCATTTTGTAAGATGGCTGTTTTTATTCACTAGTACATTGTATACTGTTTATCGTGTTTATTGTATTACCATTGATCAATGCACTATAGAACAAATTGTGTTTCAGTATATTAACATTCCTGACACTAAAATGGGAAAAGATCTCTTGTTACGCGATCTGCCTATTAAATGGACAATGCCTGAACCTGAGGCAGTAATATCAATCACAGGAATAGATCACCAGTTCAACATAAAGGACAACTGTAAATTGAAGAGAGATTTGATCGAAGCAGTCATAAGTACTGGTAAACTATTGTATTTGTATAAACGTTCATAGTCGGGTTGTCGTCTCTTTGACACATTCCCAATTATCCATTCTCAATTTTATGTAATACTTATGTAAAATCCCTGGCATTTGCATAATATGCAATCTTTTCCAGTCAAAAATATTTAAGAAAACAGAAAGGTATCTTTAGTAATACCAACACAAAAACTGACACTTTTCACTATGTTGACCATTATGCTCCCCTTTAAAAATAAGATTAAATACAAAAATATGACGTTCTTTTATCTCTTAATCATCTGTATCTTTAAAAATTGACTAGAGTACGATTTGCCATCACGCTTGGTTTTTTTTATAAATTAAACTCGATTCATATAAATGTAACTGTTTCAGCTCTGATTGTAAACAATTTACTGAATGAAATTATATTTGTAATACATTCCACAATGGTCAACTTAATAAATGACTGGTTTCATTTACTGTATCCTGCAGATCAAAAAGTATCCATTACATGTAGCGAGGTTTTACTTATATCATAAGTTTCTCATTTATCTAGTTTAGTAAAACAATTCCAAGGGTATGGAAACATTAAGATGTTAGTAATTTTAGCTCACTGTATGACCTTCACACCAATGCAAAACTTCCATATCGAGAAGCAAGAAAACGAATCGCTCGACAAAATATTAAAGGTTATATCTTTGTTTTTTTAGAATCTTGGATTGTTACATGTGGTACGGAATCAGGAGCAGTGCGGTTTATTGAGGAAGCAGTAAATGCGCATGTAGCTATGAAAAACTGTAACATTCCTATAGTTGGAATACTGCCACAACGAGTATATGATGAGATGCGAGAAGTAAGCCCCCATACATTTATATCATATTAGTAAATAAAAGCAACAGTAGTATACCGGTGTTCAAAAGTCATAAATCGATAGAAAGAAAACAAATCCGGGTTACAAACTAAAACCGAAGGAACACATCAACTATAAGAGGAAAACTGAAGTGCAACACAAACAAACGCCAACATACATAGAAACGAAATATTTGATAACAACTGTCATATTCCTGACTTGGTACAGGACATTTTAAAAAAAAATAATGGGTTGAACCTGATTTTATGGCTAGCCAAACCTCCCTCTTTTATGGCAATGTAAACGAAATATTGCTAAAATGACAATATTTCGTAAAATACAGCAAAACACATAGGAACACTCATCACAAAAAAACGCAAAAACAAATAATATCATAGTCCAAACAACATGCAAACCGTAGAACAACAACGAACATCTTACATCAACGACAGACGCCACAGGACACCACAAACAGTGACGCATTTATGTAACGAATATGTAATCTTGAACTTTTCACACAATTATTTTCACAAAACAAGTCCAAACAATTTTCACGACAATGATGGTATTGAAAGGCTATTTCATAAGTATTTGGACTACAAACGATAAGACATAACACATTATCCAACCGAAACCATAACAGAAACATCAAAAATACATTCATGTATGTTGGATGTATAAAATACCGAGACACGTCGTATAGCAATGCAAATTCACACTCGGTATAACAGTCATATTCGGAAATAGGTCACGTTCGGTACTTAGCAGACAGACGACATAGATGTTAAACCACAATCTAAGACGTGGTAAAAATGTCATTAGTTACATTTTTAGTTAAACAGTTTTAATTTCAAGTTATGACATTACTTTTGTTGTGTATCTGTGTTTTTTTTTTTTGTTTTTTTTTTTTGTTTAGAGCCCGTTTGCAAAAGTGTTAGTGTCAACTGATTTTATGGAAAACGGTTGTACTTCGATATTTAAATCCAACTGCGTTATATTTTCACGTTCCTTTGTCAAGTCATTGGTTTATAGATATAAGAAGATGTGGTATGAGTGCCAATGAGACAACTCTCCATCCAAGTCAAAATTTATAAAAGTTAACCATTGTAGGTCAAAGTACGGTCTTCAAGACGGAGCCTTGGCTCAAACCGAACAGCAAGTTATAAAGGGCCCCAAAAATTACTAGTGTGAAACCATTTAAACGGGAAAACCAACGGTCTGATCTATATAAAAAAACGAGAAACGAGAAACACTTATGAACCACATCAAAAAACGACAACTACTGAACATCAGATAGTATATTTTATCTACAGGATTTTGTTTTTCAAGGACTTTTATGAAGAATGTCGAGTTGTAGATATTATGTTGTAAGTGTTGTGAACCTACTATCATTGTTCATGCATATTTATTTCGAATATTGCTTGTCGATTTAAGATATTTTTTAAATCGAGCTTAATCAGAAACATAACAGTACGGAAATAATTTACACTTTTAATTGTTGCAAGGAAAATAAACCCAAAGAAGTTATTTCGATTAAGAGACGTAAAAAAGACAATTGGGTTAAAATCCCATGTATATCCACACAAGAGGTATTAGATCCAATTCATACCCAGTTTATCTTCACAAATAATGTCAAAATAAATCAGACTGGAAGTGAGGCTACATGCAGAGAAGCTTTCGAACATTTCTTACTGAACATCAACATCAAAGAAACAGGTATTATATTTTTGTTAATTTGCAACGAACTAATTTTGATATCTCAAAGTTGTTAAAACAATACAAGTAAAACCAACAAGAAGTGAGACAGAGAGCAGGAGCATTAAAAGGATACATTAGTACTTATTCATTTAACTCTTCTCAAACAGTCAAGATAACACCATTGAATACTGTTAAAAGCTGTGAAATTTACAAGCAACAAATATGTCAGTTTAAGTTTGTGGTCCAGTTATACACGTATAGATTGTAAAGTTGAGTAGAACATTGAGACGAGTAATAAAAAAATGTTATACTCAACCAATTCAAACAATTTATGACTACCGGAAAACTCTTATATAAATAATATCGATGTTCCTTATAATACTTCTGCAGAAACTGTTGAGTTAGCAATATACCACTATAACATGTGTAAGTGAATCACAATTATAAGATCAGTAGTTAATCTTGTTACTGGACGAACAAACCCATATTAAGGATGATACTTTAAAGTTTTGTTTAACCTAAATTTCAACAAAAATATCTGAATATGAAACAGATATTGTAGAATATGTAATATATTCAAATTCAAAGTGATATATATATGAGGTATATGTATTCGCATATAAAAAAGCTTTCAACAATAGGACTATATCAATATGTATCATAATGAGATTGTATGTTCTTAGATAATTTTTCTCTTGATTTTGTTAAAATCATGTTTTGTGTAAGTAAACAAACAGGTCAGCTGACAGGAGGGCACAGCACGTACACGGTTAAATACAAATTGGTTGTTGAAACATAACAAATCAATTTGATATCTTTTGATATCTCAAAGTTGTTAATAAGCTTCACATCAGTATAACAGCTCTAAGAATCAATTCGTTTTCAAGAAAATAGTGATTTCTTCAACATAAACCAGATAAAATTGCAAACTGATATGGACCGCCACTGTCGTATGTGGTACTCTAACATTCCGTTATGTTATGTAGTTTTATTATTTCTTGGGGATATTTTGTCTTTGCAAAATACCGTTTTGACATAACTTCATAATGTGTGGATATTACTCATTATAAGTACTTAATGACACAATATTTTGATATTACTTGGTATGGTTTTGGTATTACATTATACTTAAAATGATTTCAACATTACTTAATGTAGTTGTGTCATTAGGTGAGGTTATTTTATTATTATATTTTGTGTACTTTGTTATGCTCATTTGGCAATTTTTTCATGATGTATTCGTTCCTGTATTTGATGTGATTTTGTTATACGCTGCTGGGGTAATCACATTACGTTATGAGGTAAATCAATGTGATCGTTTTGGAAAGATCGTTTTTATTTCTAAACCAATTTCTATGTTAGTTGTTATGTGTGCCTCATATGAGTGTGGCTAAGTTCAATTAAACGTTCGTGTAACTATTCAGTAACTCAAATAGAAACTCGACTTTTTTAAACCTGATACACATCAAACAATATTAAAACCATACTATCTAAGAGCATACACATTAAATAATGGTAAAATCATATTAAGTAGTGGCAAACAATAATAATTAATGGCAAAACCATAACTGGTCATTTCGAAACCATATCATGTGTTTATAAAAATATCCTTAAGAAATGACTTTACTATCATTATATATTTTGTAAAACCATCGTTAAGTAAAGTCAAAAAAGCATATCATGTAAAGACATGATATCGTTAAGTAATACTAAAACTTATAACCAATGTCAGAGATCCACATGCGACAGATGTGGTTTTCCATAAGCTGGGATCTATGTTTTCTTTTTTTCGTACAAGAAACTGGTATTCCATTTAAAAGTCTTAAAATATGGCTCATACTCGTACTAAAGTCGAAGACAATAATAAAGAACAGACTATCTACCTGAGGTGCATAATAATTGAATTAGAAACATAATTGATTATCTAAAATAAATTATTTGTATGCCCCCTTTCTGGGTTTCTACTAGGTTGTATTTATCGTTATTGGTTGAGGTTAATCATAACTAGCGGTTCACGGATTATATTTAATAACTGTCACTAGGGAACACGTTGATAGATATCTGTTGATTGGGCCTGGCCCCGAAATCTAACGTGCATTTATATTCCTTTGAATCAATATTTTCAATCTTTAATACCAGTCGGACTAAATTAAACTCAGCTTCTTTTTTTAAGATTGTAAATACGTATACAATTAATGCCATTGGAATTAAGCAATCAACAGTTTGCTAATCTTTTCAAGATTAAGACAAAGGCATCCTTTGTCTCGAGTATTTAAAGAAAAAGAAACGTAGAAAAACACCAGACTGTAGAAAACATGGTGCATCTTTCGAAATGATAAAAATTATAATAGCATGTTCATGCAGTGAAAATACTAACACCACACTTAACTTGTTATGGAAAAATACGCTTCTTTAATTTTTATTGATAAACTACTTTATAAAAAGAGGTGGAAGATAGTTAGGGGCCTTTCAAGCTCACAAATCAAACAAAATTGACATTGCTATTTGTAAAAAAACAACTAGAATACGAACAAGTTCTCAAAATGTAATCAATTGAATAAGTCTTGTTATGAACGGAAAGAGTTTGGTTTTCGAAATTATGAAACAATGCTCATAGTGTTAGTTGAATTGATCAACCCAAATGTTCTATACAACAACGAAAACTATTATAATTTTAATTCAATACAAACTTATTAAAGCGATGCATTTCAAGAAAAATAGTCAATGATTAATGATAACCTGATCACATAAATTTGCAACTAAATGATAATTGTTTATGTTTATATTGCAAAAACCTATGCACTTGATTCAAATTTAAATCAGACTTCAAGTATTAAGTTTCGGAATTCCGTTGAATCATATTTCATTTTTTAAGGGTTGAATCTGTAACATATTGTCTTATTAGCACTTTGTAATATGTCACTTTTTTGTGTAGATGCAGAGCTCGAAACACATGAGATTCTGCCGGTTGTGTTGGTGCTTATTGAAGGAGGAGTCCATGCACTAAGAACTGCTAAGAGTGTACTGAACCATGAACATCATGTTGTAGTGATTGATGGATCGGGAGGAGTTGCAGATTTTCTTGCAGCTTGTTATTTTCGTGATACAAGGTTATTGTTTATAACTTTGTTTTATTTTCATGATAATAAACTGCTTGGTGTTCACATGTTAGTCATTCGTTCTATTATACGTTGTCTTGTCTTAAAGGCACCTTGCTTTCTCACACACAAATTGCTTTGTTGCCACTTGTATCATTCAGGTTATATTAAAGATCTGTGATGCTTGTAAATAATCATTCAAAACGGTATTTAAGCATTATTCAACGGTCTTCAATGATTTAAGCTATTTAGAATTTGTAAAAAAATGTCCGTTACCGATTTCAACGCAAACATCATGTTTGATTTCGAGACGATACATTTAACCAAAATATCAAGAATTGTTTTCATATGTTTTATAAACCCAGGCAATAACAAAAAAAGAAAACCGAATACAGAAAATAGTCTTGAATAAACATTTGCAATATAACTGTAAGCTTGAATTTGGTTAGAACATCAATAAGACAAACACTCACACAGACGATGATTAGAATCGAAATAGGAAAAGGCAATGGTGGTCAATTTGTTTCATAATACATTATATAAAATATTGATAAAAAAATATAAGGCTTAACCTTTCTGTTTTCTATCAATCATATGGAAAATAAAGAATACTACTTTGATAGAACTATTGTATTATCAACAGTGAAACTGAACAAATTATCTTTTCCAAATATATAGTTTAACAACGGTCGCACTCCGAATAATGGTCTAAAATACAAAAAAGACAAGTTTACTATTTTAAACAAGAGTCATGTAACTGGTATCAGTAAACACTTGTTTTGCATAGAAAGTTTGTGAACATAAATTTTACATGTTTCATGTTTGAAGGTCTTTAAAATTAAAAACGGAAGTCTTAAAAAACAAATACTGGAAATAAGATATTCTTATGCGGTTATTGTATATTAATGGTTCTGATTGATTGATAGTTAGCGTAAAATTATCTCTCTCCTTATTTGAAACTAAGGAAGCTGACCTTTTGAATTGCGGAATGTAGTGACATGTAATTTCTACAATAATATGGGAAAAAAAACTCACATGGTGCACCTAAAAATCTTCTTTTTATCAAATGTGTTACATTTTGAAGCAACCAAGAAGCCAGAAAACGCCCGATGTTTACGTTTGACGCCTGAAACATACCTATGACGTCACCTAGTTTAGGGGCCAAAGAAGATAGCATCTTTTCGCAGAATTTTCTTTAATGAAAATTTTGCACTGAAATAATGATTGAATTTTTATTATGTACTTGTTTTGAATTAGAATAGAAATAACTGTATTGTAGTTGAAACTTTGCGGGCGTCGATCGGTAGTTTTTTTTCTGCCACAAATACCCGTACAGTCTCCGCTACGAGTCGCCAGGTAAACTAAATTTGCGACAGTATAACTACCGATAGACGTCCGCAACGCTTCAAATACAATACAGTTATCTCTTAATTAACATTATTTGATCATTTACTACTAATGTACAATTATTAACATATGGAGGAGGATAGAACATTCAATCGATTCATTGAATCAATTAAAACAAAATTAAATATGTTATTTTTTGTTGATGGTACAAAATCATGACAATACTAAAAGCATTGTCTCTTTTGATTTAGAAGCAGATTTTCACCTAAATGGAATGAACTAGACATTATTGAAATTTGTCAATTGTTTTGACATGTGAAAAATTTGTCCTGTAATCCAACATAAAAAATAATTATTTCATTAGACTTAGTTCTAATGTATAGACATGATAGAGAAAATGTCAACAGCTTTGTTTGTTTTCCTTCACCTATATGTGCGGGAGAACGAATCGTCGTATAACCACCCTGTGCCCTCTTAGTAAATATAAACAAATAAGTGATATCCTTCTTGTCCTCATAATTTGTTCTAATGAATATTCATTGAATTTAAACCATTTTTGTTCATTGTGTTTACAAAGGGAGAGGAATGGTGAGATACCAGATCAAAATATAACAGAAGTAATCGAGGAACACTTTGAAGGTGACCCCGATGGCTTACAGGAAGAGATAAAAGAACTATCAGAATGGTTTATGCAGAAAGACAAAAAGGAGAAAGTACGATAATAAACCAACTTAGTACTAGAATATAATATATTTCAACGAGACAAAATTCAAATCTATTGTTTAAATACACAGCTTTCATGTATTGTTTATAGATAACAAACACACAATGACACAACTATAATATCGATGAATTTGGAAACACATATGCCCCCGAAATAACCGTTACCTTTCATATGATGTTTAAAAATATACAATTTTTATATTGGTAACGATTCGGATAGTTCTCAAACATAAAGGAAAATTTAGCATGAACAACTGATTGTGTTTTTTCTTCAAATCATTAGTTCAAAAGGATAACTACTTAGCAAAACTTCTGAACCTAATCTCATGCGTGATTTACCATTAACAACATGTTTCTCACTTATAGCAAGTGGCTACATTAATCAACATTGGTCATAATCTCTTTTGATTGGCTTTTGTTAGGTCAATCAGTTGCAAGGACTAATACTTTGAACCCCTCTGAAAATTTTCTGAAAGGGTTGTCATAATTATTTAACTGTAACTTCATGCTAGAAATATCTTAAAAATACAATTTGCTAAATGCTACCTGTATCATTTTGGCTCGATGCCAGTGGTACAGAATATTGTTGTTCCCTTGATAATGATTAAAAGAAAATTGTATTACAACGAGAACAGTCGATTAGTAATTTTCTAAATTGACTGTGTCATGTTCTCTTAGGCGTAAACATAGTTATGAGTAGAGTTGTTTTTCTAATTTTAATTTTAGTTCGTTAGATGTCAGATGAATTGATTTATTCTGTTTGCATGCTAATAATATAATTATCATATACGATTCACTGATACCAACTTCCGGTATCTTACTGACGTCTGTTCTTATCGTCATAATACGGTCAGGTTTCAAATCGACGGTAGGTTCTTTTCACCTCAAATCGAAGTATATGTTTGGCTCATTGCCCGAAAACAGTAGTGCATTCCTTTTAGACAAAAAAGGCAAATTAAAAAAGAATCGCACCTGCTCTACCCCCAAAAAATGTTTTAAAGTATTGTGTACTTCTTTTTGTTTAGATTATATCAAAATTAAAGAAACAAGTCTATCGGCTCTAACAAAAAATATGGATAATTTTATGTTAAGGGGGTCTGTAATTCAGTTTGACCGATTCAGACATACTTATTTTAGATCTTTCCAAACTGGACCAAATCACTACTTTAAGTGAAAAATGCATGCCCCAAATGTATTTAACATGTAATTTAAACCCACTACTTACTAGTGTATGCATAAAATGTAAAGAAATGAATGTGGAGGGTGTATGAACGAATTTGCAAGTTATAAACTGTCCATACTAGGGACTATATTCGTAGAAACAAAAATAGACAACGAAAATCAAAGGACGATAGCTGTGTCCCGGACTTCATGACATAAACGCACATATTTATAACAAGTACGATGAAAGGTTATTTTATAAGATTTATCAAACTTTTGATTTTGTCACCGAGATAAAGATAAAGCAATATCATCCATTTCAATTGGCATACTAGAAATTCATTCGGTCCATTAACAGTTGTAGACCAATTTTTATATGTAATGAATGAAACGGTCACACAAAAAGACATAACAAGGAATCATTATGTCTTTTTAGTGTGTCAGTCAATGTTCAGACTTTTCTACTGCTGTAATTTCAGTACTGTTTAGACAAATTGCTGGCTGCTAATTAAATCTGTTCAGTCTATGTACAGAATGTTTAGTTGCTGTTATTTACCACATTTTTGACAAATAACGTATTGAATTGTCTAAAAATCTACTGAACTGTATTGAATTGACTTCAAGCAAATTTTCCGATATGTAATGAACAAATAGTTAAACTAGGGAGTAAAAGCGCATTTCCTACGTGCATACTCTATGCCAGATTGTACAAGAGTTGTTTTTGCTTTACTCTAGATGTTACTGTTGAGTAGGCTTTCTTGTTTTCTCAATAGTGCAACTCGTTTGCTCTTCGGGAATGTTCATAATCGTTCAGGTTTAAATTAACACACAAGATGTCATGCAGCACTATGCATGCAATGTGTGTGATCATCTAAATATATTTTAATGTTTATTTACGTTTTGTAACTGGACATGCTTCTGGTCTACAATTAGAACACCACTATCCTGATTGGTGTAGGTATATATCTGCTTGAATGAAATAATCAAGGTCATTTTAGAATATCTCGCTTAAAGAATTGAACGGAGTGGGGATTTGCTCCTTCATTGTTTAGTGATATGTTTTCAAAGTCCCTACCCCATGTACACGATATGCTTAAATTTTGTATGTAAATCCAGAAATATATTTGTAGATTCATGTATATTCAGCGGAGAATACTGACGGAGTAGACGAGATTATTCAGAATGCTATGTTCGAAATCAACAAAGGTAATCACAGAATAACAATGAAAGTTTTAGAAAAACATCTATACATGGATTGCCTACATTCCAACTCTAAAATGAGCGGGACAAGACATACAATTAGCATTCAAAATTATAAATGCATTTTAGAGAATGGTTATTTTGATATCATTGATAATTAAACTCAATCAAATCAATATATCATATTTATAATCATATTTCAGTTGAATAGCTATACGTTCGGAGTTTAGAGATAACTTTATATCAATATGACCAAATTGAATAACAGTTAAAAAAAAAATAGTATGCATGATTCCTTGTCTTGATTTGGGTAAACATGTTGGTCCTTTTTGTTTTGTCAGGTCTTAAACGTTTACACTGGGTTTGGAATATACCATTATGTTGTCCCTTATCAACGACGAAGAGACATACTTTGTCGAAATACATATCTGGTGCAGTTAAATTACTTCTGATTTGGATTTGGATTTTCTGTGTTTTAACGCCACTTTTGAGCACCCTTTTGGGCTATTTCGTGGTGGCCAGTTTTTATTGGTGGAGGAAGACGGAGGGCCCGGAGAAAACTACCGACCTTTGATAGGAAAACTGACAATCCTAGTCAATTGAGATTGGAGTTGAGTGCACCTGCACGAGCGGGGTTCGAACTCACAACCTCAGTGTTGACTGGCTAGCGATTAACTACTGAGACCAATCGGCCACAGAGGCCTCTAGAATTTCTTCTGGTAATGAAATAATTCAGGCAATATTATCCCACACCTTAACATGTTTGGGTCCAATAATCGTCTCTAATTAGTGTGCATTATTCAAAACATTAAAATAACAAGACAAAACTCCTTAAACAGCATGCAAAAAGTATGATGTCACTATTTTTCAATGAAATAGATGAACGTTTATTAATGTCAAAAGGTTGACAGGAAGTGCACAGTTTGTCAACTATTGACCATTTAAAGGACATAATGCAGACTATTGTGACAATCCCTGTTGCATCCAATCTAGTTGAGGGTAAGAAAGACATCACTCATTTCACTCGTAAATTCTTTAAAATTTTCAGTAGTTTACTATAAATGGGGAAAATACATGACTTAATAATTATTTTTTTTTGCCAGAAATAATCATGTCGTCTCATTGCTGTATCAGCAGGTCCTATTGTATTATTCTGTCCAATACAATTATTGTGTTACCTTATGTTTGATAGAATACCATAAACGGAAAATAAATGGAATGAAACAGAAAAATGCCTTTAAAACCAATGCCGTCAAGGAACAACTGAAACTTGTGGAGAAATGGCAAAGATGTGACCTTGCAAAGAAAGATATTTTTATAGCGAAAAATCGAAAACATCTGACCAGTTTACAGGTAAACTTTAATGAGTAAACGATGATTATTTTGTATTAACTGTAAGGCAAAGTCACAATTTGTTCTATTTAAACGTTTAAAGAAGTGTACAAAAGCACTAACGAGTAAAATAGTAAGTTGAATATCAATATTAATAACAATATCCTATAAGTTGACCAATAGCATAATGAAGTCTAACATCTTCATACTTTGCATGATTGTTTTGTAATGCATCGTTAATAAATGCCAATAACATGGTACAAGCATTGCTCGGCTGCGACCGTGTTTTTCTAATGAATCTGTTTACTTTTTCGAGAATAGATCACGTTTTTTGTAGCGATATAGCATGATGCATTCAGATCGTTTTACCGCTACATGTATTTCACAAGTATGATAGTTTTGTTCATGACTGTCCATCTAATTCTGAATATTATACATGTTATTTGATATTTTTTTTAATATTGATAAACGAATTATAAGGCTATTTTCATTTTTTTACCTCTTACCCTATACCCTAACAAAGTGATGTATGTGAAGTTAGCAGCCGGTTCGTTATTCGATATTCGATATTCAATATCCAACCGGCTGCTAGCAGTCGGTTGGATATTCAAAATTTAGTTGAAAATCATAAAAAAATTGAATACTTGATAACATTAAAAGCACGATTTTCATAGTTAAGAGAACTGATTAGATACGTAGGAAATCGTTTAATGACCTCTTCAAGCTGTCGTAATTTCTCGTTGTACTCGAATATAAACCCGTTTCTAAGTTGCATATTTGTCTTTATCTAATTTAGATTTTTATCAATTAAACAACTTCAAATATGTACTTTTATATATGATATTTCTTAACACAAAAGGAAAAACCCATAACTCTAGAAACATTTAGAAATATAAATAGAAATATTTATGGAAAGCCCAAAAAAGAAATATATAGTGAAAACCTACCTGAGACCGCTTAAATGAAGGTGAGACCCCCCTGGTCTATCAATGTCCATAAAATCCAACTTAATCATAGACTCTGTATATGTAAAGGTTGTACTAGAAGGATTTCCCAGAATAATGTCATCTTCGATATTTACGGAGGACTTAGATTGTCACTTTTCAGCTAAAAATTGTCAAAATTTTAGGACAAAGGGCACAGGGCAACGGTGAGAGCCCCCTGATCTCTCAATCATTCTAATATTATGCAGACATTTAGTTAATAGGTACATACAAACGTGACTAAAAGGATTATGGGTACACTTCCTGTCTTCCATGTTTACGGAGCGCCCAAAGTGCCAGTTGGATATTCAAAATATATAGTGAAAACCTACCTGAGACCGCTTAAATGAAGGTGAGACCCCCCTGGTCTTTCAATGTCCATAAAATCCAACTTAATCATAGACTCTGTATATGTAAAGGTTGTACTAGAAGGATTTCCCAGAATAATGTCATCTTCGATATTTACGGAGGACTTAGATTGTCACTTTTCAGCTAAAAATTGTCAAAATTTTAGGACAAAGGGCACAGGGCAACGGTGAGAGCCCCCTGATCTCTCAATCATTCTAATATTATGCAGACATTTAGTTAATAGGTACATACAAACGTGACTAAAAGGAATATGGGTACACTTCCTGTCTTCCATGTTTACGGAGCGCCCAAAGTGCCAGTTGGATATTCAAAATATATAGTGAAAACCTACCTGAGACCGCTTAAATGAAGGTGAGACCCCCCTGGTCTTTCAATGTCCATAAAATCCAACTTAATCATAGACTCTGTATATGTAAAGGTTGTACTAGAAGGATTTCCCAGAATAATGTCATCTTCGATATTTACGGAGGACTTAGATTGTCACTTTTCAGCTAAAAATTGTCAAAATTTTAGGACAAAGGGCACAGGGCAACGGTGAGAGCCCCCTGATCTCTCAATCATTCTAATATTATGCAGACATTTAGTTAATAGGTACATACAAACGTGACTAAAAGGAATATGGGTACACTTCCTGTCTTCCATGTTTACGGAGCGCCCAAAGTGCCAGTTGGATATTCAAAATATATAGTGAAAACCTACCTGAGACCGCTTAAATGAAGGTGAGACCCCCCTGGTCTTTCAATGTCCATAAAATCCAACTTAATCATAGACTCTGTATATGTAAAGGTTGTACTAGAAGGATTTCCCAGAATAATGTCATCTTCGATATTTACGGAGGACTTAGATTGTCACTTTTCAGCTACAAATTGTCAAAATTTTAGGACAAAGGGCACAGGGCAACGGTGAGAGCCCCCTGATTTCTCAATCATTCTAATATTATGCAGACATTTAGTTAATAGGCACATACAAACGTGACTAAAAGGAATATGGGTACACTTCCTGTCTTCCATGTTTACGGAGCGCCCAAAGTGCCAGTTGGATATTCAAAATATATAGTGAAAACCTACCTGAGACCGCTTAAATGAAGGTGAGACCCCCCTGGTCTTTCAATGTCCATAAAATCCAACTTAATCATAGACTCTGTATATGTAAAGGTTGTACTAGAAGGATTTCCCAGAATAATGTCATCTTCGATATTTACGGAGGACTTAGATTGTCACTTTTCAGCTAAAAATTGTCAAAATTTTAGGACAAAGGGCACAGGGCAACGGTGAGAGCCCCCTGATCTCTCAATCATTCTAATATTATGCAGACATTTAGTTAATAGGTACATACAAACGTGACTAAAAGGAATATGGGTACACTTCCTGTCTTCCATGTTTACGGAGCGCCCAAAGTGCCAGTTGGATATTCAAAATATATAGTGAAAACCTACCTGAGACCGCTTAAATGAAGGTGAGACCCCCCTGGTCTTTCAATGTCCATAAAATCCAACTTAATCATAGACTCTGTATATGTAAAGGTTGTACTAGAAGGATTTCCCAGAATAATGTCATCTTCGATATTTACGGAGGACTTAGATTGTCACTTTTCAGCTAAAAATTGTCAAAATTTTAGGACAAAGGGCACAGGGCAACGGTGAGAGCCCCCTGATCTCTCAATCATTCTAATATTATGCAGACATTTAGTTAATAGGTACATACAAACGTGACTAAAAGGAATATGGGTACACTTCCTGTCTTCCATGTTTACGGAGCGCCCAAAGTGCCAGTTGGATATTCAAAATATATAGTGAAAACCTACCTGAGACCGCTTAAATGAAGGTGAGACCCCCCTGGTCTTTCAATGTCCATGAAATCCAACTTAATCATAGACTCTGTATATGTAAAGGTTGTACTAGAAGGATTTCCCAGAATAATGTCATCTTCGATATTTACGGAGGACTTAGATTGTCACTTTTCAGCTAAAAATTGTCAAAATTTTAGGACAAAGGGCACAGGGCGACGGTGAGAGCCCCCTGATCTCTCAATCATTCTAATATTATGCAGACATTTAGGTAATAGGTACATACAAACGTGACTAAAAGGAATATGGGTACACTTCCTGTCTTCCATGTTTACGGAGCGCCCAAAGTGCCAGTTGGATATTCAAAATATATAGTGAAAACCTACCTGAGACCGCTTAAATGAAGGTGAGACCCCCCTGGTCTTTCAATGTCCATAAAATCCAACTTAATCATAGACTCTGTATATGTAAAGGTTGTACTAGAAGGATTTCCCAGAATAATGTCATCTTCGATATTTACGGAGGACTTAGATTGTCACTTTTCAGCTAAAAATTGTCAAAATTTTAGGACAAAGGGCACAGGGCAACGGTGAGAGCCCCCTGATCTCTCAATCATTCTAATATTATGCAGACATTTAGTTAATAGGTACATACAAACGTGACTAAAAGGAATATGGGTACACTTCCTGTCTTCCATGTTTACGGAGCGCCCAAAGTGCCAGTTGGATATTCAAAATATATAGTGAAAACCTACCTGAGACCGCTTAAATGAAGGTGAGACCCCCCTGGTCTTTCAATGTCCATAAAATCCAACTTAATCATAGACTCTGTATATGTAAAGGTTGTACTAGAAGGATTTCCCAGAATAATGTCATCTTCGATATTTACGGAGGACTTAGATTGTCACTTTTCAGCTAAAAATTGTCAAAATTTTAGGACAAAGGGCACAGGGCAACGGTGAGAGCCCCCTGATCTCTCAATCATTCTAATATTATGCAGACATTTAGTTAATAGGTACATACAAACGTGACTAAAAGGAATATGGGTACACTTCCTGTCTTCCATGTTTACGGAGCGCCCAAAGTGCCAGTTGGATATTCAAAATATATAGTGAAAACCTACCTGAGACCGCTTAAATGAAGGTGAGACCCCCCTGGTCTTTCAATGTCCATAAAATCCAACTTAATCATAGACTCTGTATATGTAAAGGTTGTACTAGAAGGATTTCCCAGAATAATGTCATCTTCGATATTTACGGAGGACTTAGATTGTCACTTTTCAGCTAAAAATTGTCAAAATTTTAGGACAAAGGGCACAGGGCAACGGTGAGAGCCCCCTGATCTCTCAATCATTCTAATATTATGCAGACATTTAGTTAATAGGTACATACAAACGTGACTAAAAGGAATATGGGTACACTTCCTGTCTTCCATGTTTACGGAGCGCCCAAAGTGCCAGTTGGATATTCAAAATATATAGTGAAAACCTACCTGAGACCGCTTAAATGAAGGTGAGACCCCCCTGGTCTTTCAATGTCCATAAAATCCAACTTAATCATAGACTCTGTATATGTAAAGGTTGTACTAGAAGGATTTCCCAGAATAATGTCATCTTCGATATTTACGGAGGACTTAGATTGTCACTTTTCAGCTAAAAATTGTCAAAATTTTAGGACAAAGGGCACAGGGCAACGGTGAGAGCCCCCTGATCTCTCAATCATTCTAATATTATGCAGACATTTAGTTAATAGGTACATACAAACGTGACTAAAAGGAATATGGGTACACTTCCTGTCTTCCATGTTTACGGAGCGCCCAAAGTGCCAGTTGGATATTCAAAATATATAGTGAAAACCTACCTGAGACCGCTTAAATGAAGGTGAGA